AGGGAGGGAGAGAGAGAGAGAGTGAGAGAGAGAGAGAGAAAGTGAGAGAGAGACAGAAATAGGAGCTGAGCGCTGCATATGTCCTTTGTATTATTGTACAGCACATTGAGCACTTCTTTGTGGAAATGCGCTATATAAATGCAAGACATTTATTATCATTATAAATTAGATCATTCAGGAAACAGGCTTCAAGCCTGCCTGTGAGGGTCAAACTGAAGTAAGAAAGATACAACCTCCCAACAAAAAGACCGACATACTCAAAAAAAAAATTCTTCCCCACACAGAAATGGAACTTAGGCCTTCTGTGCGTGACAATGAACCAGTTTGGCATACATGTGTGTGTACACATGTGTGCGTGTTATGTGTTCGTGAGTGTGTATGCATGTGTTTGTGTGGGTATATGTGTATATGTGTGTGTGTTTGTGTGTGTATGAGTGTGTGTATTTGTGTGTGTGCGTGTGTGTAGCGTGCATGAATATTGTTCGTACATGCATTTATGTAAAGCGCCTAGAGCTGTGTTTACACGGGAGTGGGCGCTATAGAAATGATCTTCATTATTATTATTATGTTTATGAACCCCTGTTTTTCATTTAAAACAAGAGAGGGAGCTGGAGAAGGGGAAAAAATAAAAAAAATAACGACAACAAAATAAGAACAACAACAAGAGGAGGCTTTATTTGTATACAATCCTCTCTCCATTTACAGGAAGAGGAAGAGGAGGAAGAAGAGGAAGAATGAGAAGAAAAAGAAGCGGTAGAAAAAACGAAAAAACGTAGGAGAGCTGACCAGATGACGGGGAAGAAGATGGTGAAGCAGCACAGCAGGTCGACCCCGATGAAGATCTTGTGCCAGGTGTCGTAAGACGAGTTCCCCTCCTCACTCTCTTCCATGATCACCCACGCCACATTGTCCAGGATCTGAGGACACGCCAGATTGGGTTTACTTCAGTTTTAGTAAGTGTTTTACGGCACTTGCAACACAGTAAGGTCATATATGTGCCGAATATTAGAGGTGTCACAAGAGAGTAACAAACACAAAAAAGAAGGAGGGGAGACATAAAGACGATGGACGTTTGATAGGAAAGAAGAAGCAAACCACACCAGAGCACCCGCCAACTACCCAGAGGATCTGAGGATACGCCAGGTTGGGTTTAGAGTTTACAGGCTTGCCAACTTTTTCAAAACACGATCAGGGACACCAAAGGTGAAAACATCACATCGCAAAACAATTTCCATAACTTCATCATCAAATGGGACCAGTTTTTGGTGTAGCGTTCTTGGGTCAGCGACTTCATTCGTAGTATGCGCTCATTACCGCTGGCGACTTTAGTCACCGACTCGACAAGGCACGCTAAACATATTTAAACAATGAACGAAGCCACTGCCCTGAAGTAAATACCAAAGGCAGTCACTCTATGCGATAGCTGAATGGTTGATGAAACACTGAATCTTTAAAGTGCCTTTCTTGGGCTGTGAAGGTTCTTAAAAATTTTTTAAAACATTTGACCAGAGCTTCAGCATTCTAAACTGGTGCGGTACTTGAGGGTTTTTCACTACATGAGTCTTCTGTACAGGAAATGTCAACCAATACACACACACAAGCACATGCAACACCAACTTCCATGGAGGCACAGAATACACGAGGATCAGACGGGGGGGGGGGGGGGGGGGGGGGGGGG